ACACACACACACACACACACACACACACACACACACACACACACACAGAGGAGCTGGCCCATGTGGAACTCTAATGACTGGTTTAGACTTAGAGCATTTCTTATGGTCTCTGGAATTCAGTGACATGATATAAAAAGAATGTTTGGGAAGTATTCACTTGCATGTGGAGCCAGCCCTACAAGGAATGTGAAATTCGCAGTGCGGTGCCCTCCTCCCTGTCCCTGTAAGACTTCTTGGTGTAGCGATGAGCCCTCACACAGCGCTCTGGGCACCTCTGTTTTCTCTGTGCTTTCGATATCCCAACCTGTTCCCCAAAAAGGATCTGATCATTTGATTCACATTGGGTTTTAAATGACTCGATGCCATTCTTTCTGTGGGTATGTAAGTCATAGGAGTGAACCTCTTAATTATGTGATTTTCAGAAAGGCAGGGGGATGAATTGGAGAATTGGAAGAAGACCTGGGTTTGAATCCCAGCTTTGCTACTTAATGCCTATGAGACCTTGGGCAAGTCTCTCTGCCTCTGTCAAACTGGCTTCAGTTTCTTCATCTGTAAGATAAAGGAATTATACTAGCTGGCCTCTATACTTTTTAATTCTAAATTTATCATTCTACATCATTTTATTTAGGGTGGCATAGATAGAGTGTTGCATCTGGAGTCAAGAAGACCTGTAAATCCCACCTTGGATACTTACTAGCTGTAATAACTTGGGCAAGTCACTTAACTGCTTTTCGCCTCAGTTTCCTCATCTGTAAAATGGGGATAATAATAGTGCCTACCTCACAGGGTGTTATTGTGAGGATCACCTAAAATAGTAAATGTAAAGTGATCTACAAACCTTAAAACATATAAATGCTAGCTATTATTCTTCCGTAACACAGTTACACAGCACCTGGTTCATAGTTAGTACTTGATAAATACTAGTTGGCTGCCTGCCAGTTTCTTTGTAAAAGGGAGGGACTGAACTCAAGGATCTCTGAGATCCTTTCGCACTCTGACATCCTATGATTTATTACAATCTCTGAGCATCAGTGAGTGGGAGAATTTGTTGTTGTTGATGTTGTTTTTGTTTTGTCAGAGCTATTTCTATCTTCTATTTTTTTTTAAAAAAGTATGTGCATAAAAGCTTCTGTATACCTACAGAGATGAAGAACTATAAAAAACCCTACGCTTGCCAATTGTGCTACTCCCAACGAAATATCCAGGACAGGAGAAGTCAAAACTCTGTTTAAGTGGCATAGTGGATAGAGGGCTGGGCCTGGAGTTGGGAAGATCTGAGTTCAAATCTAGCCTCAGGCATTTATTCACACTGGGCAAGTTACTTAACCTGTGTTTGTCTTAGTTTCCTCATCTGTAAAATGGGGATAATAATAGCATCCATCTCCCAGGGTTGCCTGGAATACAGTAAGTGTTTTATAAATGTTGGCTATTATTGTTATTATCATCCATGCTCACCTTTCCACCTATGAGGACACTGACCAAAAGAACAAATTCTTCTTCTTTTTTTTTTTTTGGCAGTTGGGGTTAAGTGACTTGCCCAAGGTCACATGGCTAGTAAGTGTCAAGTATTTGGTCCTCCTGACTTCAGGGCAGGTACTCTATCCACTGTGCCACCTGGTTACCCCAACAAATCCTTTTATTAAGGGGGTTTGTTCTGTGCAGTTTGGATTTAGACAAAGGGCCGCACTTCAGGACCTAGAGGGTCACATGTGGCCTCGAGGCTGCAGGTTCCCCATCCCTTGACCAAACCTTTCTTGCTGTCATTTAAGCCAATTCCTTTTCCTGTTTTTCCTTTGGAGGGCACAGGAAAGCAGTATCATTTCATAGGATTGCAGGTTTAGAATCTTTCTAGAAGGAAGGAGACAAAGACAGAAAGGTGGGAAATTCTCCCCAGAAGGAATGGGGTAAAGGGGGCACCTTACTAGTGACTTTTGAAAAAGAAAAAACACTGTTAATAGCCGAAGTTTCTCCCAGCACTTCCTAGCTGAGCCCAGGCGACTTCAGCTTCAGATGTGGGCAGTGGCCGGGTGAGGAAGAGAGCAGCACGTGCTCATGCAGTGACTCAGCCCCAAACTTCTTTGATGTATTTTAGTATGGAATGGAGCTGCCTCACTTGGTTTTAAAGACCTGAAACCTGGTTCTTTTTCTAAATGATATCAGCAGCACCTAAAAGGTATGAAATAGGACTGCTTAACTAGTTAATCCACTTTTTTCCTCTCCCCAGTGAACCTGATGTAGTTATCTTAATTTTTTTTCTTTATCTTAGAAAATGAAAGAATGGCCACATGAATGAATTACTCATAGCCTAGAAGATAGCCCGTGGTGTTTTTATGGGTGAAGGCAATTTTGCTGTTAAAGCCTTCTTGAATTTAAGGAGGGGGTATGCTCCTTTGAGTTCCTTCCCCCCTCTTTGATTAGAGCAGAGGAAATTTAGGGCACAGGCCAGTGTTTCCATATTTCAGATCTGCCATTGGATGATGGGTATGGAGAAGGCAGGGCATGGGAGAGAAGAGAGAGGGAAATGAGGTATGAGAGAGGCGGAGGGAGGAGAGAAGCTCATTATAACTGAGGTTGAGGGTTACTTTAGGCCAAGAATTTTCATATGAGGTTGTGGGTCCTGGAACCAATCCTCAAGTTCATTTGGCCTGAGGCTTGAAGGTGGAGAAAATTAAGAACATCTTATTGGAGTGGGGAATAAGACGGTAGAGAGAAGGTGGTTCTTTGCAGAAGCAGTCTTCCACCCAGGAGAAGAAGGAGAGGCTCAGGACTATCCTGGAGATTTGGCTATTATAGGATTTATATTATTTATATTGTATAATGCCTATGACTTATTATTAGGTTGACATAGGGTACTCAAGAGACTTGTCTTCTTTGTCTAGAAATATTGTTTAGCTAAGCGAATGTGCAAGTGTATATAACATCCCCTCTCCCTTTTCTCCCATTCACCCCCCCTTACCCCTACCCATCACACACTGGCAGATCTGAAATATGGACACACTGGCCTATGCCTTGAATTTCTCCTGCTCTACTAATGGTTTCCCTACTCTAGACACACACACACACACACACAGACTTTGCCAAACAACATATATATGTGTGTGTATATATATAAACTACATAAATATATGTATATATAAAAAAACTAAACTATATAAATATATGCACATACACGTTTATATGTGACACATATATACCCACAGATATATTTTATATATATGATGCACACATATATACCCACAGACATATTTTATATATATGATGCACATATATTCTGTACACATACATACACATATTTTATAAATGTACACATATATCTGCATATATTTGTACAATACACAATTTATATTTTATATGCACACATACACATATATATTTATATATGTGCATATGTGTACACACACCTATATATCTCCATCAGTCTTAGTTACAATTTTATATTGCAAAGATAATCAGACTGGATGAGACTAGTTCTAAAAGCTGTTTATTCATGTATGAGCATTATCCACAAGGAAAACCTTCTGTGCTACTCTTCCTGCTCCCTCGGAGGGATCGTGAACATAAATTCTAATCCATTAACATACGCTGTCTTTGGATGCTCCCCTAAACCATCAGCCTTTACCAGCTGTGCTTAAGCTATGTGGAGAATAGAGGTCAGAGAGAGTAGTACTTAAGTACCCTCCCCTTCTTTGTCTCTCACCTTCACTAATAGCAACTCCTCTAAGGTTGGGGTTAGTTTCAGTCAGAAATATTTCTTCAGGGAAAAAGCTCTGGCAGAGGGCCCATTCTTTCTTCCAATCCACTTTACGTAAAGGTATCTCAAGGCCAAGGGTGAGGGTCTTTCACTCATTCAATGGAGACGATATTTGGAGCACAGCCAGTTTTCGTCCACACTGATTTGCTCCCACAGCACATATAGCTGATTTAACCCTTTGGTGACACTTTAAACAAATGTACCAGGACTTTTGCTTCTAAATCAGTATTGTCCCCAGTATTGGAGAGCTCTGAGGCTTACCTGAGCCGGGAGAGATGGGATTAGGTTCTCCCCTTTCCTGTCCATTTATCCAGGGAGTATCTGCTAGGGAACAAGAGAGAACCCATTACAGTGCCTCAAAGTAGTCATCTTGGGAGGTTTTACCCTTATTTTAATGATGTTGCCTTTATTAAAAACAATTTTGGGGGGGCATACCTTTGTTAGAAATGCTTAAAGAACCAGTTTGTGAGCCAGATAAATAACTATGTCATTATTTTGTAGTTATGCCATATTTTTCACAGAATCCCAGAATTTGAGAGTTAAAAGGAATTTCTCAGAGCCCATCTGGTCCAATTCATAAACAAAAGGAATCCCTGTTTATAATATACCTGCTTGAAGACCTCTGAGGAGAGAGAACAAAACAGCTCTGGAGGCAGGTACTTCAACTTTAGGGGCAGCTCAGATTTTTCAGAAGGTTTTCTTGCCATCAATACTAGAACTAAAACTTTGCAATTTCCTCCCAGTTTTAATCATAACAATGACGCTTTATATGTCATCTC